AAATTGTTTTTATTCCAAATTTATAATTTTGTTTTAAGAATGCATTCATTTATTTGTTTTTTTTTTTTTTAGTACGAGTATAAATACAATGTTAAACATTTGTTTATTTTCTTGCATTCAATATTATATTTTAGTAATATAATGTATATATTAATTATACATAAACTTTAATAACATTCAATAGTCAATTAATTGAAATAATAAATAAAAAAAAGATTTTTATTTAAAACAAAAACATTTGATATTGTGTAAGTACAATGTAAATTGGATCAAATTAAATGCAATATTATGAGTTTGATTGAATTTTCTAATTCTGCATTTTATTTATTTGACATATTTACAATTAGTTATAATTGAAAATTATATATATATATATATATATATGTATATAAAAATAAGATTTTGCAGAATTTCTTGACTTATGTATGTTCTTGTAAACATAATAAATTAGAATGAGTTAAACCATACCGCATTAATTACAATTTTAACTTTAATTGAAATAATTTAATTGTGAATCAAATTAGATTTTAAAGTAGAACAAAACAAAAATAAAATGCTTCAAATATATTAAAAAAAATTTCCATTTTACAATTTTAACAAAATTACTTGATTTATTGAATTTATTGTATGTAGAAATTTTAAATCATGTTTAAGAGTTTAAAAAAAATTAAGACTTCGCTGCTAATTTAACAATTACATTTTTCTCATATTAAATGGATCCAATTTTATCTTTTGATGATTTGATGAGAATGCATTTAAATAATTTATATATATATATACATATTTCTATAACAATTAATGATAATTAAAAATTTTACAAAAAAATTAATATCATAATAAATTTATTAAAATTTAATATGAAATGTATTAAAAATAAATATGATTAATTCTAATTTAAATTATATTATGATTTTCCTAATAATTATTGACTTATTTCTAAAAATTTCTTATTATCCGTTTAGATTTTGTCACATCCATTTTTATTCCAAATTCAATGCAATTATATATGACCAAATAGAAACTAAAATCTTGTATTCCTTAATGCGTTATGTCAATGTGTTCTTTACCAGAAAATGATGGTGTCTCTTAAAATTCTTCATTAAAAATTTTAGAAATTTTATTGAATTGATCTTTAATTAACTAAAATAATTAATTATTTCTTTAAAAGATTTAAATTTTATGTCTTAGCATAAAATTATTTTGAGCATCTAATTCCTCCTGTATTCCTTATTCCTCCGGTATTATAATATAGAAATCTTGGTCTTAATTGAAATCTTGATTTGATATCTTGATACATAATTGAAATCAAAATTAAACATCGATTTATATTTAAATACGATTTTGTAACTAAATCACCTATTAAAATACATTATTAAAAATAATAATTCTTCATTCTAAGTTTTTTCTATAAAAAATTCAATTTCTTTCCGCTAACATTTAAATTTTACGTATTTAAGGTATTTTTAGACTTAGATATTAAATTATAATCGTTTAATTATTAATACAATATTTAATTTAATTATTTTATCATTTTCTTACATTTCTAATTTAAATAACAAAAAAAAAAAAATAAATAAATTACGAGCTTATTCTAAGAACTTTACAATTATTACAAATTTCAAAATTAATTTGATCAATAATTGTACGATTTAAAACAATATTTTTTACATAAAATTTTCTAAATAATGAATTTAATTTTTTTTTTTTTCAATTTTAGAATTGAAAAACCCGAAAAGAAAAAATATACGACATTAATAATTTTTTGAATAAATTGTGAAGACGAAATTGTTTATTTAATATTTTTTTCAAATTTTTGGTATTTGATTGTTAAAAAATATATTATTAAAAAGAAATTCTTGACCAATATAAAATTGGTCTAGATTTAAATAATAAAAAAAAAATTTTAAATTTCAATTTTTCTGACAGCTTCCGAAAAATTTTATTTTATTTAATTATAATTTATATTGATCCAAAAACCCCTCTATTAAATGATTTTTAATTTAATTATAATTTACATTAAAAATATGTTGATCTAGTTATTGTTAATTAAAAATAATAGTGAATAATTTTTATAAATTGAAATTTAAAAAAAAAAAAAATTAATATACATTAAATTAATCACATTAAATATTTCTAACATTCACCGTTCCCCCTTATTTACAATTTAATATGAACCTTAATTTCATACATTACAAATCGTACTAATTAGTTACATAATGGAATTTTTTAATTAAGTAAATTTATTAAAATATTTTATTTAAATTAAATAACATTATTTAAATATCCTTTAAGGCATTTGAATATTTAATATTCAGGAATCAAATAAAGAAATAGCATTTAATTTTAAAAATTAAAAATTTTGTATCCCATAAAAAGGATATTTGAAAATTAAATTTTCTTACGATTGTTAATTTATGATACGATTTAATTTGACGAATTGATTTATGACACGAATGATCATAATTTATAGAAGAATAAAAATTACACAAAATATTGAGTTTTATTTATAAATTTCACATATTACTTTCAGAAATTTTATTTTTAAGCAATATGTTAGTGATATTTAATATCAAAATTAATGATAATCATTTTATTTTTAATGATATAATCATAAAATATTAACAATATTATTTGAATGCAATATTAATATTAAAGCAAATTAAAAAAGAAATAAATAAAAAAATTAAATAGAAAAATATTTTAACAATTTAATTAAATATCATTATTTAATACAGTGTCATCAATTTCGATTTATTCGATTTTTTTTTTATTAATGTCCAAAAAAAAAAAAAATCACAATACATTATTGCTTGTTTTTTATTTTATTTTTTCTTAAAATTCTCCAATAAAAACTACAAATTAAATTATAAATAAAATTTTAACCTATAATTACATTTTAAAATATACAATCAAATTAGCCTTAAAAAAACAAATTATAATAAAAAAGCTAGATATATTTTCTAAAAACCTCAACCAGCAATAATAATCTAATAATAATGTAAAATATACAATAAATGAAAAAGTTAGAATATGATTATCATATTATGTTTTTAATAAAATTAAAAATAATATAAAAAAAACTAGACTAATTTAAATAAAAGAAAACTTCTGCTCAATTTTATAAAAAAAAAAAAAAATTCTTAGCATAAATAAATATAAAAGTATTATAATAAAACAAATATTATTTAAAATTATATAATTTAATTAAAACAAATTAAAAATTAAATTTATTTTTTTAGCATAATTTTTTATTGTATCTTAAAATGTGATGTAAAAAAAATGTATAAAAAGTATTAAATTTAATATAATGTGTGTGTATGTGTGTGTATTTTTACTTATTAATTATTAATTATTAATTATTATTCAAGCGTAATATAAAAAGTGTTTAATTTGTATTAAGTGATAAGTATAATATAAAATATGAATTATAAAAAGTAAGTAATAAAAATGTAAATATTATAAAAAAAAACAAAAAAATTTTTATATATAATATGTATAATAAATGCAAAAGCGATAGATTTAAAATTGTTATAATAAAGAGTTTTTTTTTTTTAAAAATGAAGATGAAAAAAAATAAACAGATTTTTACAAAATAATTAAAAGCAAAGTATTAATTAAAATATTAATTTTGTTTTATGAACAAACTTTTGGAATATAAAGGAAATTTCTTTAAAAAAAAAAAAAATATCAATTAAATTTGTTATTTATTTAAAATTTAACCACATGAAATTATAAATATTATTTACAATATTTTTTGTGAATAATTTATTTAAATTCATATTAAAAAATTAATTATAAAATAATTGAATTTCAAATAAAATAAAAAAAATATTTCAAATGAAACAAAAGTACATACTTTGAATTATTTAAATATGTTTTAAAAAAAATTTCTTTTTTTGTTTTTTTTTTGTATATTAAAAATTATAAAAATATGCTTGAAAATATTCCAAATAATATTAACAAAATGATATATTTAAATAAATTATATAATAAATTTTTGTAATCTTAATATGAAAATTTATGTATAATTTATTGAAATTTATATTTTTTTATTAATAAGTATAAGCAATTAAATAATTATTATTAATATTAAATGCTTATTCTTATAATTAAATTCTCAATTATAAAAATTCTCAATTGTAAAATTTAATATAAATTTTTAATAAATTAATTAATTTCAATTAATTATAATATATTTGTTAAGATATTTAAATTAATTACTAAGCAATATACATGTTTTATTTTATAAGAATTTTTATGCAATAATACCAATATATTTTTCAGAAATTTCCTTTAATAATCCTTAAAAAAAAAAATAATGTGTATTTAATTGTTTGATTTTATTATTTGTATATAATATAAAACAGTGTTAATAATTGAAAGATGAAAAGAATTTAATTTATTAAAAATTAAAAAAAAAATAAAAAAAAAAAAAAGAGTAAAATATAAATTACATCGCACAAAAAGTTAACAATTAAATTTTTTTTTTTTATTTATTTTATTTTCATTCATATAATAATATTTATATTATATAAAAAAACAAATTTTATATACATTCCCAATTATTAATTATCCAATTAATTATTAAAAAAAAAAAAACTAAAAACACAATCTTTTTGTACGACAATATAATTAAATATTTATGATTATGTTTATAAATAAAATAAATTATTACTTAAAATGAAAAAAATCAAATTATTATTAGCACTAAAACTACTATTTTGCATGAAAATAAAAAAAAAAAAATTGTTATTTTTTTTTTTATTTTTTTGATTAATTTCTATGAAAAAAAAAAAAAAAACAAAAAAATTTAAATTTGATTATAAAAATTTTGTACAAAATAGAGATTAAGATTAATATATAAAACATTATTATTTATTTTTTTTTTTGTTTTCATTATATCCAAAATTATTATATAATAATATTAAAAATATAAATAATAATTTTGTTACAATATATATATTTTTTTTTTTAAAGAATTTCATATATATTACACTTACCCACTTATTTCCAACATTGAACCTCTACGTGTATTTCGGCGATGACTTGCGGTTACCGGAAATGGGCCAGCATGTCCTTCACTAAAATCAATACTCATTCGTTTTAAACCTTTATGATCACCACCACCACCACCAGAACTGCCACTAAAACTTTGTCTATCAGATATTTGGCTACCAGGTGTTCCATGTTGTTGTGATAATTGTTGTTGTAATTGTGGATGTTGTTGCTGTTGTTGTTGTTGTTGTTGTTGTGTAACAACTAATATTTGTTCATTATCTAATGGATCAATACTACTTCCACCAAAATTAACAGTATGTCCAGAACCAGACATTTGACTATCACGTCGGAACAAACCTATTACAGATTTAGCCTGTTTAGGTTTTGATAGGCCTCCTACATTTATATATTTTAATAAAATATTTATATGTGTGTGTTTAAATAAATAAAAAAATAAAAAAATTAAGGCAAAAAAAAAAAAAAATAAATAAATTAATTAAATGAAATAACAAAATAAATATAATAAAAAAATAAAATTAAAAAGAAAAAATAAAAATTATATATTATAATAAAAGCTATATGTAACATTTAATTAAAAAATAACAGACCGAAAACTAATTATGGTAACGTTTCTAAAAATAAAGTAATTTTTTCTTCTAAACAAAATGAAAATAAAAAATATATAAAACGGGGAAAAAAAAATTCACAAAGATGTCAAGTAAAAAAAAAAATTTTCTTTTTTTTTTTTTTTTTTATGAGCGTGTTTACCGTATACGTTTAATTTCTAAAACAAATTTGACATAATATGTCAAAATATTCATAATTACAATTTTAAGTAATTGAAATATAGGACGACATGTCCTTTGAAACATCTTTTTAATTTCTTTATTGAAAATGTTATAATATGTGTTTGTAGAAATGATACAATAATATTGAAATTGACATTGATTCTAGGAAATTAAAATGACATAAACGATGTCAACACAAATGACAATTGTCAGATAAATCAAAAATCAATTTAATTATTTTTACTTATTTAAGTTATTGACCTTATAAACTCGAGTGTTATTTAGAATTTATTGTTATAATGGAACGAAAATTCTACATTTTAAATATAGAAATCAAAAATTATTATTTATGTTATTAACAGTTTGATAACACAAATCGTTTTGACATTTTGTATTTTGTATCCTTTTGGTAATTTTGAAATTAATTTGGAAAATTATTCTAGAGAATAATTCTAGAGAAATAATTAATTTTTGTAGAAAAATATAAATTGAATTTAAAAATTAATTTTGGCATATGTTTATGTAAAATAATACAAGAACCTTAATATATTTATAAAATAATTTTTTAAAATTTTTGTGATCATAAAGAAATATAAATATGTCACGATTACTGTCAGATTTGGGTTATAAAGAACCTTGTCTTTTATATTTAGAATACGAAATTTTTACCAATTATGAAACAATTTTTTTTTATTTAAAAAAGAATATTAATTATAAATTTTTTTAATTTAAATCGAAATATATGATTTTAGATTCAAAGAAGTTTTGATAGAACTAAATTTTTTTCTCTTTCCTCATATATCATCGCTCATTTTTAAATATAAAAGAAATTGTTTTAACTAATTCTATCATTTATCATAATTACACGTCTTACCTTATATTTATTTACGTTTATGTTTATGTTTCTAAAATGGCAGATTTTATATAGATGAATTTGAATTTATGAAATTTTAAAGGCCTTTAAAAATATAGTATATATATATATATATAGATAATATATATTATTATATGGTAAGTATATAGAAAAATTATTTTTAAATTTCAATATTGAAAAAAATTTTATCTACCAAAATAGATTTATTTTATTAATATTCAAAATTATAGTTTATTATTGAATAAGATCGAAATATTATTGATTGAATGTTATTTTAAATTGAATTTTCTTGATTTCAATTTTATATTAAATTAAAATAGATATATAATAATAAAAAAAAATAAAATTTAATTGAAATAGTGTATTGGTTTTTTTTTTCTTCTCCAATTTAAATACATTTCGAAAAAATAAAACAAATAAAGATACCGAAAATTTTTATACACAAATAACTTTTAAAAAAACAAATATATATATACACAAAATTTGTTAAAAAGTGCAATTTGAAATATATATTATTTTATAATATATAAATGTATTTATATGTTTTATTTATAATTTATATATAGAAATTATTAAAAAAATAATATATATTTAAAATAAAGAAGAAACATGCAGAATTATTTTGAAAATTAATTTTGTTTTTTTTTTTTGTAAGTTTTTTAATAATTTGAGAACATGTACATGTGCAGTGCATACAAGTTATTGGAATCGAGATACTAATTCAGGAAGTGTGTTAAGATTTGTACAAAAATATAAAATTTTGATTTGAAAATAACAAAGGTTGAAATAACAATATTAACTATTACTTTTTTTTTCGATATTTTACTAAAGAGGAATTGATAGAGAGAGCTCTTTTGGAAAATTTCAATTACTTGCATAATGAAAAATTACTTTACAATTGAAATGTACAATTGAATTTATATTTGAAATTGCGGTTATATGTTATGATTATGTGCTAAAATAATATTTTTTTTTTTTGTGTAAATGTTTTATATTTATATAAACAATATTTCTAGTGAATTGTAATTGTATTCAAATAAAAATGATCTAAATTCATGTATGAATTAAATTATTACAATGAAAATGTTATGATTTAAAAAATTTTTAATTTAATTTCATAGATTCTCAAATAATAAATTAAATTTTTTTTTTTAATTTTTAATTTTTTCAAATAAATGATAATGCTTATACGTATTGTGGTTTAAATAATTATATGATTGGATAAATTTGTTAAAAATTAGTATTAATTTTTTTTTTTAAACATAAAAAAAATTAAGGATCTTAATGATTTAAGAATAATGAAAATGATATTATAAATAATTTCTTTTAATAATCGAAATAAATATTTAAATACAAAAAAAAATGCCATCAAATAGTTTTATAATTATTTTTCAATTTTCTTTAAAATTTTATACAATTTTTAATTATTTAATTTTGAATAGGAAAGAGAGAATGAAATATATATTAAAGTGTTAGAAAGAATTTAATTTTTTGCTATCAAAAAAATTAAGGAACAATAATAGGTTCTTATTTGAAAAATACACTGAATTCGCAAAATTTTTATTTTTTATTTTAGAAATTAAAAAGCATTCTTAAAATTTAGTGATTTCTTTTTGTTCTTTGTTACGGGAAACTAGCCAAATACTTAACATCTTTTATATTTATACTGAAATTTAATTTAAAATAAAGGAAAAGGATAAAAAAAACTAACACCATAATAATATAAATATATATAAAATATAAATTAAACAATTATAATAATAGTTGAATTGCAATTATTAAAAAAAAAATATTTTTGAATTTTTAATTTTTCCTCAAAAATTTCCTCAATAATTTACACAAAACATTATTTCAGAAAAAAAAAAGAACAATTATTTAATGTAATTGCAATTATTCAACTATTTATTAAAAAAAGAAAAAAATAAATTTAATTATATTTATCAAAAATAAATTCAAATATGCAATTAAAAAATTATAAAAACAAATAATTACAATAAAACTAAAATGTTATACATTCTACAAAAGGTAATTAATAATTACATATAAATTTCGCTACAATTAGAGGAGGACGGAGGGGGTAGGATGCTAATTAATTTACTAGCATGCTATTTATTTTGCTTAAAATGTGATATTGAAATATTTTATTTATTTTTGAGCGTAAAAAAAAAAATTTGTTAATTTTTTATGTCTTTTGTTCTGTTTTGTTGATTTTGTTTTATAATTACATTATGTTTTAATTGAAATTTAATGTTCTTAAATTTTAGAAACAAAAATAATTATTATTATATTATTGAAATGATTTTTAATTTTATTAATTTAAAAAAAAAAAGCTGATTTCATTTTTTTTTTATCTAAAAATACAAAGCTATTTTTTATTTTTTGTTTTTCCAAAATACTTTTTGTTAATATGCTATAAATATTACATATTATTACGTTATAAAGTAAATAAATTGAGGGAAATTATAAATTGGAAAATATTTAAAAATGAAAATAAAAGCATTTTATTTGAATTTAATTTCTTGTTAGTAGGCAATAATTAATTATCGCATGTATATATAGAATAAGCAATACTTATTACTTTCAAATTTTCATAAAAAACTATTACATTAAAAATTTTTATTTAATTATTTTGTTTTTAATACTAAAATAAATATACGATGAAAATTTAATTAAAAAAATGATATAAAATTGATATTCGAATTGTATATGTTTTTTTTTTATTCTTTCAAATAAATTATAATATAATTATGTATATTTTATGCCATCAATAAAATACAAATGAAGTAACCTAGTTGATTTAAAATAGATAATTCAGTTCTAATGGAATATATTAATTTTATGCAATCGGCAAATATTATATAAGTATAATCATCTTCAAGCTCTAAAACGGAGTAATATCGTAATTATATCCAAATTCGTTTTAAAAAATAAGTTTCTGAATTGGATTTAACGGCATTGCTACATTATAGAACTCAAGAAATTATAAATCTTTAATAAATATTTATTTGTTTTTTCAAACAAGTGAAACATTATTGGTTAAAACAAAAATTTATAAAATGTTTAAAATTGAATGTTTTGAAAATACAGAAGTATCAATGTATGGGATAAAATGGGAATAACATAAAAAATTGTTACAAGTGAAAGCAACAAATAAGCAAATAAAAATTTATGTTATTAAAAAAAAAAAAAAAACAAAATGCATAACTCAAATACAAAAAGGATTTAAAACAATATTTTGTAAAATATAAATAAATTGTAGGGAAAAAGAAAACAAAAGCTAACAAACGATTTAAATAAAAAAAAATGATTTACGTATTAGATCCTTTTTTTAATATTATCTCCATACCTAAATAAATTTTCTTGAGAATCTATTTATTTCAATAAAAATTTAACTTATGTTTTTAACAAACAGAAATTAATAAAAACTAAAGTTTGAATTTGAAAAATGGTTTAAAAATTTTAAATTCATTTTAAATTCGGTTGTTCAATTGTTTTCAATTGTTTAAAATATTTTGTAAATTGAATTGATTCTTGTTTTATAATATTGGTGAACATTGAATTGAATTGTAAACAAAAATTACAATACTTAATTACAAAATTTAAAATAAAATAAAATTCTCAAACTAAAATATTCATTTGTACTCATATGTTAATTATTATAACATTTTTTTTTTATTCGTGTTTTGCTTTACACAAAAAAATTAATATAGAAAATATTTTAATGTGAAAAAATGTGAAATGTGCATTTCTATTTTTTTTTTTTGACTCTGAAATTGGGTATATTCCAATGATTTAAATCAAAGTGGGACAACATATTTTTACATTTTATAATATTTTATCCAATAATTAATGAAAAAATCAAAAATTTATTTTTAATTAATTGCCAATTTTAAACTGAAACAAAAAAAAATATTTAGTAAACGAAACTGTTTTAACAATAATTTTGACAATATTCTAAACATCAATTGTAAAATTTCATTTTGTTATCTTAAGAGTCAAATTAATGTTATATAATGTTATTAATTCTATATACTGTATAATATTAATAATATAAAAAAATTTAATAATATAAATAAATATAATATTATTATTATAAATAAAATAATATAATTTTATATTATAATATTATATAAAAATTTATATAATAATATAATATAAATAATAAATTTAATCGTATTATACATTTTATAAAAGCTTATACATTTTATGTATGTATGTTTAGATATAAATTGAAATTTAAGCAAAAAAAATAAAAATAAACAATAAAAATTAAATATTAATATTGTTAACATTTGTAGCTACATTAAAGAGAAATAAAAATTTTAATGTTATGCATATTGTATACATAATTACAATGATAATTAAATACAATTAAAATATTCATTTTAAAAAAAATAAAATAAATAATGGATATGAAAGCAATTAAAAAATATAATTTTGTTTTTGTTTATGAAATTGAAATATGAAATGCATTTTATATAATTTAGAAAATAAAATTTAAGCATAAAATGTGAGGTGTTAAAAATAAGAATATTGATTTTTTAATATTGAAAATAAATTTGATAACCAATAGTAGAAAAATATTGCTCCTCCATTTGATAGATTGTTGCCACTTTTGGAAAAAAAAACCAATTATATATATATAAAGATTTTAAGAAATAAATAACAATAGTCTTTAAATTTTAAAGTTTTTTCATAATTTTTCAAATTTTTTTGAAATAAGTAATGAGTAAAGCTACAACCGTATTAAATTTTTTAAAAACCATTTCGATTTCAATCAATTTAAATAAATTGATAATAATTATTACTTTGATTAAATCTGCTTTGTTTTACTGCTTTGGATTTTTTTTACTCTTACTAAATAACAGATCATAGGTTTTAGTTACAAAATTTAAAATTTTTAAATTTAAAAATTAAATTATTAAAATCTTCGGTTTGTAGCTTAAATTTTAAATAATTTGAAATTAATTTATGTTGTAATAAGAAGAAGGAGAGAACAAAAAAAAAAAAACAGATTTGTATTATATGAAATTATTAAAACAAATATTCCTTTTATAAGAATATATTTGTAGTAATAATATATAAATTGTAATAATTTTTTTTTTCTTAAAATTAAAAGCATTTTGAATATATATTATATGTATATGAATAGCACAAATGATTTATTAAAAATTTAAATTTTGAATAATTAAAACTTTTTATATTTAAATAATTTGTAACAATAATGAAAAACTAATTTTAATAATATTTTAAATTCATTCGTGATTTTCATATAATATAATTCATATTCATATGTATAAATATATAATTAATTACATAATTATATAAAATATACTTGCTTGACAGCGTGATTCTTAATTATTGCATCTACATAATTAAAAATTTGTTTTTTTTTCGATATATATATATATATATAAGTATATAATGTTTTATTATCATTTTTAAATTTATTTGCTTTTGTTTTTCTTAAAATAATTTTATATCTAAGTACTTTTGTTCTTTAAGCATATTAAAAGAAAGAAAAACAAAATAATAAAATAAAACAAGAAGTACATACTTAAAAATTATAATAATTCTTATTGTGATAAATATATAAAAATTTTGGAATTACTTTGCTTTGTTTAGAATAATTTGAAATTTAATCTTTGCTATATCATTATTATTTTTTTGTTTTTTTTTGAATATAAATTGAAATTTTTAATAAGCAAAATAAACAGATGCCTTAAATTAATTACAACTATCATAATAATAACAATAAGAGTAGACAATTGAATTTATTATATTATTTTTAATTATTTTTTAATATTTTTATTTTAGAAAACTCTTGTATAACTAAAATAAAATTGAATCTTTTTTAGTTAATAATATTTCATTGTTATTTTGTTCTAGTATCTCACTACAAATTACTTTACGTGTTTATTTAAAAGGAAAGTGCATTAAAAAATTTTTAATATTTGAAAAATTGAAAAATTTTAAATTAACATTAATTTAATTTGACCGAAATGAAAAAAATTTACGCGTATAACAAATTTTAAAATGAATAATTTTGTATTGCATACAAGAGTTTTTAATTTAATTTACTTGATAAATTAATAAAAATATGTTAATTTTCTAATTTATAAATTTTCAATTTTTTATAATTAAAACATTCTAATAGATTTTTTTGAACTTTTGCTTTTTATAATTGTAATTAATAAATCAACATTATTTACCTAAAAATGTAGCACTTGGTGAATTATAAGCAAGATATTCTTTATTGGAAGCCCATGCAGGGAATTCATTTTGTTTAACTGGTGCATTATCATCTGTTTCACTTTCATTCCTTTTCCACGGTAATTGTGATTCTATTGCTGTTGGAGTTGCAACACGACATTCATTTTCCGAATCTCTAAGGGTATGGGGATCTTCTTCGACTATAACACCATTTTCCTCCACTAAAATTAAAAAAAAAAAATGTAAATTAGACATTTGTTAAGTTTCCTCAAAGAAAAAATCAATTATTTATTCAATTATTGATTTAATTTGAAAGAGAATTCATTATCATTTTTCATTTTGAAATTTTTATTTAGACCACTTTCATAACTTGCATTTTAATTTTCCAAAGCTTTATAGGCTTATTATGTATGGCGAAATCAATAGAAATGTGGCGAATGTGAAAGTTTAGTATTTTAATACGTGTTATTTAGCGTATTCGCCAGTTCTAGAGATCTCGACAGTTTAATCAATTCACTATACATAGAAAGCCAACTTAAGTCAGGCAAAAACTTTACAGTTTAACATACATATATACTTACATGTAGGCTTCGCTGTAAATGTTAAACCATCATCCCAATCCTCATTACTTTGTCCGTCTTTATTTGAAGCTTGAATGGGATTCTCTTCTGTAGAGTCATTAATATAATCTATTTTTTTTATTTTGTTAATTAACATGGAAAATAAAACAAATGAAAAAAAAATTCGATGAAATATGAAAGGGAATTTAGCAAAAAAATTATAATTTATAATAAAAATAAAAACTCACATAAATAAAAATTTAAAAATTATAATTAAAAAATTTGTTTCATATTTAAAGTATTTGAATTCGAAAAAAAAAAAGAAAAACTGATTTTCTATTGCCAAAATTTGTTATAAAAATTGTAATACGACCTTTTACGTTACACGTTATCAAGCAATTTAGTTTCAAACAATTTACAAAGACTGTTTTAAGTTTATTTTAAGATTTTATAAAAGTTTTAGAATAAACTTAATAATTTTTCACTTACAATTTTAGATATATAGAAAAGGAAATTTAGGAAGCTAAAAAAATTATATTTTCGACTAAATTATAATTAAGAAGTTTTTGACTAAATTATAATTAATGCCAGAAATAATTTTCAAACACAATTAATTACCTGAATAAAAGACTAAACTTAAAAATTAATTAAATATATATTTATTTGATTATTTACTTCCTGATTTAATACCTACTACAGCATCAAAATTCTCTATTATCACTTCTTATTCTTATTATAACTTTATCCTATGTATAGGAAATTGAAAAATATTATTAAAGTATTAAAATAATTAAAAAACACATTATTTATGTAATTATTGAATATTGAACAAGGAATAAATCAAGATAAAAAATTTATAACTTTATTATATTTAATAATTTAATCAGCATCCGATTTGGATTTAAGCAAAAATTTATAAATTATGTAGATTTATATGTAGATTTTAGAAATTTTTTTTAATTAAAGAAAAGCAAAACCAACTTTATGAACCAACTATTTTAATATCAAATGTTTAACAATAAAAATTTATTATTTAAATTAATAATGTGTACATTTTACATAAAACAATTTTGGCATGGTTCAATTTATAATTTTTAAAGAAAAAAAAAATTAATTGAAGTAAAATTTTGTAGAGAATTGTTAATAAATTTCCTTTTTACTTAAAAAATATTTCCAAGCAGTTATAAAATAAATAAACTTACATATAATAATAAAAAACTCTATTAAAAATTAATATTTAAGTGTGAAATTTTTGGTGCGAAAATTGTGATTATTAATACACTCGAATAAAATTTCATTATTGATTGTTGAAATCTTTTGCAATAATAATAAATTTCTAATTTAAAACTTTTTTTTCTAAATTATACTTTCTTTTTAAATTTTTTCAATGATTTTATTAATAATAACTTAACAACTTTGGAATGTGTTCATCAAAAAATTTAGGAAATTATACAAAATTTTGTGCAATTGTTTTAAGTTTTTTCAAGTAATTTTACAATATAAATAAATATATTTCAAAGGTTTTTTTTTTCTTTAATACATTTTTCCTCCAGTGTACTTGTTTTTTGAATTTAGAAAAATTAATTCACTTAATATTTATTTTAAGCAATTTAAGAATAAAAATAAAATTACATTAACTAAACTTTTAAAATTCAAAAGCTAAGGCAGATGAAATTCTAGCACAAAAATAAAGGTTAAAAAAATTATATATAATTTTACAGAATATATTTTACCTATATAGATTTTAATACAATTAAAAATAAAATTTTAAAATAAAAAATAACGCTCGGAATTTTTTTCAAATAAAAATTAAAGAAATAAAATAAAAATAGGATAACAAAATTGACCAAGAATCAATTTTTTCTGTATGTTAAATATTTTTGCTAAAAAATTATGAACTAAAAAAAAAAAAGAAAAACATGAGATTAGTTTATAAATATAATTTATATAATATGTTTTTTTTTTTTTTGTATTTTGGTTCTTTGTATATACTTGATAAAAATTATTACTTCTTGTAAGGTTCTGGCAATTACCTAATTCTAATCTACGATATTTGTTTATTGAATTGTGAGAATGTTTTCTGTTTGATTTTCGACTATGATAATTTTTCGTACCATTTGTTAATTGTTTTTCACTTCCATTCTGCCGAAATTCATGAAATGAAACATGATTTTGTTTAACACCCTCCTAAAACAAAAACAAAAAACGCAATTAACAACTTTTTCACTTTAATTTTATATTAAGGGTATTTTTTATATAATTCAGTTTCAACTTAGGTCTTAATATACACCACTGCTTACTTAATATAACTTTCTTAATATAACCGATAAATGCAATTTGCAAAACTAGAATGAAATTTTGAAGTTTTGCTGCATAAATATTATAAACGAGAAGTATAGCAGAAAAATGTTGAATTTTGAAAAATTGCTGGAGTATGTTACAAATACGCAAAAGTATACTGAATAAATCTGCAGATTTGTAAATATGTGTTAAACAATTTCTAAAATTTAATTTAAAACTTTCAATAGATATCTGAATTATGGAAAATCCCCTTATTTAATTGAATAATATAATATTAATATTATTACCTTTCCTTTTTTACTCCGTTTGTGATGTTTGCGATCATTTACCATTCTTCTTATATTCATATGCATCCGGTAATTAACCTAAAATTAAAATTGTTTAATTAAATTAAAAAATTGTTTAATTATTTAAAATAAAAATATTTGAAATTTTTTTATATTTCCGTTTCAGATAAAAAAAAAAACTTACTTGCGTTGATAAATCTCTATCATCTACTGCATGCCTACTATAGCTGAGCCGGCGATGCTGTAATTTATTAAAAAAAAAATATTAGTATTTTTCAAAAAACGGAATTAATAACATTTCTAATTTTTGATATAAAAAAAAGAAACAAAAAACAAAACTGCAACACACACACACACACAAAAAACATAAAAATAATAATAAATAAATAAAAAATAATACTTATAAAAATAAGAGAAATAAACATATTTCAAAAATTTCACAAAAAAAAAAAACCAAAATGAATTTTAAATATTTGTTTTCTAATAAAATTTAATTTTTTTTTTTCATACTTGCGAATTGGATGACTTTTTTATTTCAATTAGAGATATTTTAAAGCCAGGACATTTATATATAACGAATAAAAAAAAAAAATTGGGAAGAAATTATTTAAAATAAGGTTTGACCTTTCTTTATATAAAAATTAAACAAAATATTTATTTTATATTTGTTTTAATTATTATTTTGCTTAATATAAAATCTCATTCATCGCGAAAATACCCCCTAAGACAAAAAAAAAATAAATTCTATTTTTAATAAATTATTATTTTAAATTTTTATAAATAAATTAATTGTTTATAAGAGTGCCAAGAATAGCAACCAAGTGTATTATTATTTTTGTTAATAAAAAATATATGCAATATAAAAAAACTTAAATACCATTTGAATTAATTTATAATAAGGTAATTCAAGATCAAGTTTGATTTTTAATTAACATTGAAAAAAAAATATATATTAATTAATTTAGTTTTGTAGCCCAATATCCTTTGTAAACTATAAAATAATTGAATTAAGTTTTGAATGTAAACTTTTGATTGATATCAGTAAAATATCAGGAAAATATAGATTTAAGCTATATTTAAGAATTCGGACATTTTCGATAATTCAGTCCAAACTTAAATCTTTGCATAAAACACGTTTGATAAATTTAAACTGAAAATTTCTTCTACAAAAAAAAAATCATGCTTGAAAGTTACAGTTGTACCCATATATTATTGTGCCCAAATATTATAAATTAGAACAGGAGCATAATAAAAAATTGTTAGATACTGTTGAATTACTCGAGTATGTTTTTTTTTTGTGAATTTTGTGTTGTTTTCTAATTAATAATTTTAAGACATTACAAATCTGAAAAAGTAAAATATTCAATTTCTGGAAATATTATAAGTATGTGTAAAAAACATTTATAAGATTTAATTCCTAACTTTCTGTGCATGTCTATGAATTTTTTGAAAATCTTCATATACCATCGAGTAATGTCTTATATTAACTGATAATATTTTAACATTAATTTAATGTTAAAGTTCAATAAATTTTTATACAAGAAATGAGCTACATAAACTATGCATAGAATCTCAATTTTAACAATTCAATTTAAGATATTGTAAGTAAGAAGACATGTAAAATATAAAATTCTCTCTTTTAGAAAGTTAAAGCCCCAACAAAAACCTTTATCAAACTTTGAATAACCTTAATGTAAATTCTGGAAATTGATATTTAATATTAATTATTTTATAGTTAATGATAAAGAAGAAAAAGTTTTACACTCTTATAATAGAGATAACAATTTTAATTTTCAATAATTAATTAATTTAAATTATTTATATCATTAAAAATTTGAATTCATGCTCCTACTATATATAATTAATTTAAATAGTTTAATGAGAACAAAAATTTAATTAAATAATTTTTAATTATGTCTATTATAAATTTAATTTGTTTTTTTTTTTACTAAAATATTATCTAATTTAGTAATTTAGTTAATTTTGTGTTTTTATTAAATTATTGTGTAGTAGTTTTTCAACTATACTCTTAATTTATATGTTTAGTTTTGTGAATATCAATTTTTTGCAAAAAAAAACATAAGAAATTAAAAAATTGCAGATTATCATCAATTAGAAAACATTGTAACAAACATCATACAGTTAATTTGTTATTGTATGTAAGTACGAATTTGAAAAATTTGCTAATACTGAAAATTATTTTATTACTGAATAGCGATAATGTATTTAATTATTAGTTAACTTTTGATTTTATTGTTGACTATCTTGTATAAAATAAACTTAAATAATAAAATATGATGAAAATTGTTTATGAAAATCATATTGCAAAATGATAGGTAATTAAAAAAAATATGAGCATGAATTTTATGAAAATTTTATGTTTACTTTAATGTTTTTGAACAAATGAAATTTCAGATAGATCTAAATATATAGATTTATATGTAAGGCGATTTTTATATGATGCAGTCCCTAACTTTCATTCAATTTAAAAATTAATATTGCAATTACATGAATAAAATAATTACATGTTTTTTTTTTGTTGTAAATCAAATAAATTAAATAGTATAAATTTACTAATGAAAGTGATTAAATAATATGTAATCTAACTAATGTTACGTTTTTTAACTTTACAAGTATTTATTATTTTTTTTTAATATATACATATTTCATTAATAATATATTAAGCTTTGAACGAGATTTTACAATATTTTCATGAAATTATTTTAAATTCTCCTCTTATTTGAAAGATTTTATCGACGGTCTTGCAAAAAAAAAATCTATTTTATTTCTTATAGCAAATGATAACTGAGTTTTGGCTTATTTTTCCAACACTAGTTAAAATATTAGATTAAAGATAAATTCTGTAATTAATAAATTTCCTAATTGCTTAATCAATAGTTTCTTATATTGGCAAAAAAAAAGTAGGTGATATTAGCCAAATTCAATTATCACATATTAATTAAAAATAATACAGAAATATATTTTTATATGAGTACAATTCTCTAAATGATAAAAGCCATAAAACAAAATTGTAAAAAAAACTTAAAAAACTAATATTTGATTCGCAAGCTAAAATCTTTTAATGCCAATGTTATATAATTGATTTAACACAAAAAATAAAACAAAACAAGTGACTATGTGTATTAAAAATTAAACAAAAAATTAAAATGAAATATCAAACAAATTAAACGATAAATACAATAAAATTATGAGAAATTAAAAATAGTAAAAAAAAAAAAAATGATTTGTACAAAAAAAAATGTAACATAGTCAACAATACGTAATTATTTTTGATTGTGTTTAATTAATTTTAATTTTGTAAAAGCTTAATAATGTGTGCGCATCACAATATGGTGAATTTAAAACTATTACTAAAAAACTAAATACAAAAAAAAATCGAACAATTTTCTAGAACAATAATTATTAATATAGAACAACTTTTATAAAAATATGGGGCTATCGGGATGATTGAGAAATCTAAAAAGAACATAAAAAACTTTTTTTTTCTTCTTTTTTTAAACATTATTAAAAACAAAATATTCAAAAATTTACCCTTCTGTATGGTTTCAATTCTTCAGCTAGCAAATGATGTATTTTAGCATCAGTTAAATCTTTCTTAGATGGATTATAATGTAATTCTTGCATATCTAAATTTCTTGATGATGTATCCAAATTCGAAAAACTAGGACTAAAACATAAAAAAACACGGAACAAAAAACAAAAAAAAAATTGCAAGTGAGAAATTAATAATTACAATTACATTTTATAATTTACATTAGCTAGGGGCATTCTAAATAATTTAAATTAAAAAATTATAATTATAATAATAATAATAATAATTATGAAAATAATAACAAAAATAATAGTATAATAATAATAATAATAATTAAAGAGAAGTTAAAAATAAAATTGCATTCGGGTTCTTTGTCTAATTTCATATATTTGGGTGCAATTAATTTTGTATTCTATTTTTAAGAAAGCGTATTTTATTACAAAAGAAAATTAATAAAGAAGAAGGAAATATACTGATAATACAAAAACCGACTTACCAAGTAAATTATTTTTTAAATAATTTTTTTTTTTTTACAAAACATGTTAGGGAATTCAAATATACATACATAATATAGTATAAAGGTTAATTCCCATTCTTTTATAAATTATATAATATATTTAATAAAATAAAGAAAATTTATATATTTTAAACACACCTTATTCCTAAACAATTATTCGTATATGTTCTAAACAATGCACCCATTGATTCAGTTCCCGATATTTGACCAATTGTAGATGGATTACGTCTCATTACTTCCATTGCATCTTTCATTGTTAATTTTGAATATGTTTCTAAAATTTTTGGCTCAGCTCCCTAAAAATGTTAAATATCATATAATTTTCTCATTTTTATTAAATTAAATTAAATTAAATAATTACCTTTGTATCTCTTAATAGTAATGGTCTTATAAAACGATTATCAAAACGTTTAAATTTATCTCGAACATTAAAGTTGCCAGTTTTTCCAACAATATCTTCAACACCAGCCATTAAATGATCCATGAACTAAAAAAAAAAAAAAATTGTCATAATTGACGTTTATAATTCATTAAATTTATTTAAAATATCAAATCCATTTTTTTTTTTTTTTTACAAATTACTTACTCTCTCATGAATTCTTTCGTTCATTGTTGGTTTACGTTTAGAAGCACGTTTAACATTTAAAAATTTAACTAATGGTTTAATAGTAATGCCCTGAAGGAATACTGTAAAATATATAACAGCAATTGTTGTTGTAACAAACATATTTTTTTCTTTAACTAAATCTTCTGGTATTAATAAAACTAGAGCAAATGCTACAGCACCACGAAGACCACCATAAGATATAACAAATTGATCAACTTTTGATAATTTATGTAAACGAAAACGATTAGCTAATGCGCTAAGAATTATAACGCCTTTATAGAAAATAGAAAAAAAAAAAAATTATGAATTAATATATGAATATAAATAATTATAAAATATTAAAATAAATAAAATAACACAAAATTTACCTATAACTCTAAATACTGAACAAAATAAAATTGTTAATAGTACAAATGCCGTATTCCAATTATGTTTATTATTAACGGTGGCAACACCAAGGAACATGAAAATAATTGTTTCTGCTGAACTCGACAACATTTTTAGTGCATATTTCACTGTGGTATGAGATTTTTGTGATATATTCGATTCGACATAATTTTTCATTGTTATCCCACAGAATGTAATACTGCAAAATGAAAAAATAAAATAAAATAAATAAATAAACATAAACAAAAATTTTTAAAATTAAGATCTTTAATAAATTTTTTGATAAATTTAAGTTAATTTAATGATTATGTTATCATATTAAATTAAAACATCTTATCAAGATCAGCCAAGTGAATCGAATGAATTTAGCGTATTCAACAACATCTCAAATTGATTTCATTCTTGACATTTAAAATATTGCTACATCAAGACATCAAAAATGACATTATTATAAACTCAAAATAGTTTGTTTAGTCAAAATCACTAGGGCTGCCAAATAGAATTCATTGGACAGTCTTGACAGCTTATTCTTGGCAAATCTGCTAATTACAGTAACAAAAATTCATATTTACTAAAAATGTCATTCGCTTAATTTTGCTCACAAACCATGATAATTATTAATCTTAATTTATAAAAATATTTAAAGTTCGAATATTAAAAAGCAAAAAAAAAACAAAAAGAAATTAATTAATGGATATAATTTAAAAATCTAAACTATTTTAAAAAAATGAGTTATGGCGTTATATACATTTGTAGCTAATATTATAATTATACCCTAACACAATATTGATAAAATTTTAATTTATATTTTCAAAACGAACCAATGAGGCCACATTAAATTGGAAAAAAATAATTTAAAACTTACGCTAAAATTCCACTCATATGAAATATTTCAGCATTTAAATAGGCCAAATATGCCATAACAAATATAAATATAGGCTCAATCACTCGAACGTGATCAGTAAATCTCGTTACAAGGCCAGTTAAAAATCCCCAAATTATACCTAAAAATATAATTAAAATTTGATATTATTTTATAAAAATACATTATATTATAGAAAGTAATACAAACACTATACGTAAAAACTTTCGAAAATGTTATTCTTACCTATTGTAGTACCACCAATTGCAACAACAAAGAATGATGCTACACCACTCACTATATCTACAGCAATTAAATTTTCACCTAAACTTTTATACACTTCCATCATATGATAGACAACAACCTAAAATATATTGGTAAATAGTTAATAAAAAAATGTATTGAGAAATAACATTTTATATTCATTTTATTTACAAATTGTAAAATAATTTGTTTCCTTTTTTTTTATTTTTTATTTTACTTGTTTCACTTACCGTAACAGCATCATTCAATAACGATTCACCAAAAACAACTATATACAAAATTTCATTTACATGAATTTCTTCAAAAACAGCCAAAACAGCAACAGGATCAACAGCCGCTATTAATGACGCAAATAATAAAACATCTAATATAGGTAGTTCCACAGTAAACAATCCTGTAAGGCCACATGCCCATAAAGAGCCACCTGTAATTCAAAACGAATAAATTTAATTATAAATGGTAATGTATTTTTATAGCACACATGTATGTACATATGTATATGTATATGAATGGGTTTAATACTTCTACTGATTGTATTGGATAGTAAAATAGATTTGTTTGGAACGGGTAAAAAATCAAAAATAAATAAATAAAAATTTGGAATCAAATGGAGAATTTTATGTGTAAAATAAATAGAATAATTAATCAGGATTCATTACTCATAATAAAAGAAATTAAATTGAATTTGAATAGAAATGAAGAAGAAGAAAAAAAATCTAATGAATTGGAAAATTAACATTTGAGAAATACAATAAAAATTGATGAATTTTCAGTTTTGATGATAATATAAAACTACTCACCAATTGTAACTATATTAAATATTGTACCAACTACTGCCATTAATAAAATTGTTCCTAAATTATCAAAAAAAAGACGATTAGGCATAAAATAGCCTGCATCAAGTATAATAGGAGGAAGCATATAAAAGAAGAATGTATTCGGTGTTAATGGGGATACATTAACTTTTGTTCCAAAATTAATAACAATACCAATAACAACTCCAACAACAATTAATAAACATGATTCAGGAAATATTCTATGTAATCTTGGAGTCATATGAAAACCTTAAAAAAAAAACAAAAGCAAAAATAACTATACTTGTTTATAGAAATTATAATTAATTAAATACTGAAAATTTACCAATTTTCGCTACACTAGATGATAAAATCCATAAACCTATTATGAAAGGGGTTTTTACTCTATCAAATTCAACTTTTGCTATAGGATATCTTTCGGGATGGCCGTCGGCACCTTTGTGAATTATTTTCCCATCATCTGATGGTAACATCGTATTAGATGCAGGGCTATTATGTGACTCACCTGAGGATATCTATAATGAAAGAAAAATAAAAAAAAAATTATTAAATTTATTTTAATTTTAATTATGAAGTAATATTTATTGTAATTATAAATTATATGTGTGTACTAGGTTAAAAAAAAATATTTAATTTTTAAAAGAAATATGATGATAGTTTTAGAATTCTCTATTTGAAATTATTTGAAATGAAAGCAAATGTTAGACGTTTTTTTAGACTTTTAGCTAAAATTTGTTTTCTGTCTTGGCTGAATTAATTTGGCTAACTATAATTAAAATATAAATACTTTAATTTAAAAATTAAATGTAAGAACTTCATAAGAAGTCGTGAATTAAAAATTGAAATGTCCTTAATGTGAAACCGTGTAGACTGGGTACTTAATAAACAACTTTAAACAAATTTAATAAATTTAAATACCCTCTTCCGTTTTGAAATTCAATTTGCAAATTTATTTAAGTATAAGATATTTTTTTTTTGTAAATAAATTTTTTCTTTTTTTTTTTACTTATAGTTAAATTTAGAAAGTCAAATAACGATAAAAACAATTTTTTTTTAAATCTTCATTTATATTTGCATAAATAATAATAATAACAATAAAAAATTGACAATAATGTTAAAATGTGTTTGTTTACCTTGAAAACTTATTTATTTCCTTGAATTTTCGGAAGACAAAATATTATAAGTACATACTTGCATATATATATATATATATATAATATATATATATATATACATTTATATACTATGTCTTTTATGTAAAATGCTGATAAAGAATGACATACATAAGGCATATAAAATACATAAGTATTTTAACACATTTTGTTTTTTTTTTTCTGTTTTATTGCACCTGAGGGTTAACATTTTAGTCAGAATTTACTACACGTGTATTTCAAAAATCAACAAAAATAAAGAAAATTATTGAATCCTTGAATATTACATAATATATAATATGTTATATAACATATATATACAAATGTTATATAACAGCTATTATGGACAAATAAAAAAGATGTTCTCTTTAAAGAATAGAATTTCTAAAATTTTGCCGAATTTATTTTACAAAAAGTTTTCATATTTTTCATTCTTTTTCAATATTTTAAGGCATAATCTAACAATTTGCATGAATTCATAATTGCTGAAATTTCAAATTTTTAAGAAAAAATTGACAAAAAATTAAACAGAGAGTCAGACAATAATGCTTGTAATACTTGAAATATTAAAAACATAATCTTCAAAGACAAATTCAGGGATCTAAATTTCTTTTAAATTTTATGAAAATATTTCCTTAAATCCAAAACTCTAAATTCAAAAAATACTAAAAATAAAGTATTTAATAACATCACTGTGTAGTGCTATAATTATAATATTACTAAAATAATTAAAGCTATCAAAACAAAGGCATTTACAATCACTAGCCTGTTGGAATATTCTTATATATTCTTATATATTCCTTTACGAATTACTTATATATATGTACATACTTAATTTTTCATATACTCATATATATACATATATATATATATATATATATATATATATATATATCATAATGTATTATTTTCTCTATAACTAAATTTTTTTGATTTTACGTTATGTTCATATAGGCATAAGACCTAACACATAATTTGACAATTTATATGTATAGGATTAAATAATATTATGAAAATCAATATTTCAATAAACGAAAAAATCTTTTTGAAAATCTTTTGCATATAAGGTGATGAATTTTAAATAAATGCTCAAGATACGATCAAAATGTTATCAAAATTTTTTATATAAAAGATTTAATAATAAATTTATTGTGAAAAGTTACATATATATATATATATATGTATATACGCACAAGTACATATATTCAAAGGATTTAACAAAAAATTAAATTTAAATAGAAAATTTAAGTAAGTTATGAATTTTTATTATAATTTGTTATAAAATCGTATAAAAAAATATTTTCTGTTTCAGTATATAAATTCGAAATTTCTTCCAAATATTTTTAATATACAAATAGAAAATACATATGTGTGACAGTATTCTAATAGAAATTTTTAATAATTTTATTAAAATTTTTAAATAAATTGAATTAAATAAGAAATTTACATACATAATTTCATATATGTAATTCCAAATTTAAGTAAAAAAATAATATGAGATCAAGTCAGAAAAAATTAAATTGAATTTTATATTTGATTGAATATTAAATTATTGAATTTTAGCTTGGACTTCGAAAAGTCAGTAATGAATTGAATATTTTGAATGTTAAGGTTGTGTTGGACACGCTAATTAAAATAGCCAATTGTTGTTTGACGTTAATTTATGAACTAAATCAGAATAAGAAATAATATTAAAAGTAATTCGTATTTTAATAAGTATATGTATATTTTTTAATCATGACTATACAAATATTAGGTCCAATGGATTATTATATTTCTCTTTGAATGACGATAACAATATTTCACAGTCCAGAGAATTTTCATTTAATCCCAAACGTAATTGAAAAATCTATTGAAGCAAAAATATTTATTTTGCAATTTTTTCTTAATAGTAAGCAGTTTAGAGAAAATTTTAAACATATTAATTTTAAATCTTCTTAAAATTTAATTTAAACAGAAAAAAAACAAGTATAAAATACCAAATCAAATATTATAAAAAACAGGTGAGTACATTTCTCGGTACACAATATAAAAATCTTATTTTATAAATATTTTTTTTCTGTGCCTTATGATTCTCGATAAAGTTGTCTATAATCTAAGGTTTTCTAACTTAAATAAATAGACGTACAATATACATAATTACATGATTCATAAAAATTATTTTAAAGTTGATACAAAAGCTTTGAAAAAAAATTATAAAAATTTAAATCAAATAAACCATTTTCGGAAACGAAATTGGTAAGGAAATCAACAATTTATGTTTTCTTTTTCAATCAATCTTAAAGTATTAAGAAAATCAAATATGTATAACTAATCTCCCAATTATGATGTTTATCAAAATTAAAGCAATTTTGACTTCAATCCGTAATTGCCTAAAATTTAAAAATTTTTATAGAAAATTCTAAAACTTTCATGTAGTTTTGTTCCGGCATTAAATTTATTAATGTAGAATTTTTTGGCAAAGTAATCCCATCAAATTTTCGATATTATATCATATTGGAAATTTGAAACATTTTCATCACCACCATTATTTTATATAGAATCTACTCCAAATAAGTACCTGGAATAAATTTTATTATAAAATAAATTTCAAATGAAATTATTCTAAATGTAGTTTTAAAATCAATACATTGAGCTTCGAAAATTTAACACAACGAAAAAAAGCATTCATGATTTTTTGTGAGAAGTCAAGTCTGAAATAAGAAAACTTAAAGGATACAAGTGTGAACAACTATAAAAACATATAATCTTGGACAATTTATAAGGTTTAGAAGCTAAAATTTATATACAGAAGAACTTTATAAATAAAACAAATACAGAATTCTTAGATCGTTTAACACTTCAAATGACAAGGATATTTCAAGAACAATCTAAAAAAAAAAATAAAAAGAAAATTTGCTTAGTATGTAATCTCCTTTCTCATTATTATGTATATAACGTATGTATATTAAATATGTATAGTTAGGTACATGCATGTATAGTTACTTACAAACGACACTTTTATACACATATGATCTTAGAAATTTGTCTTTCTTCTACAGTTCACTTTGTATTTCAACATTTAAAGATAAAGTTTAAGACGAAATAACTGGTATTTATAAAAAGAAAATGTAAGGAAAATTACATAAAGAAAAACGTTCTCTTATATTTATGTACGTATACATACATACATACATATATTTAATTTTGAATTTTATTCTTTTTATTTTTTAACAGAATTGAGCATGCATGTTACGTAAATATTATCAATCCACCCATACACCTTTTCTCTTTGTTAAAATAAAACAAAAACAAAAAAATAACATATAAAAACATTTAAGCATTATATGTCATATCCATTGTGCCCTTAAACAAGCATATATACATGTGTATATGTACAATATCCATATATATCCATATATATATACATATGAACAGAAGCATTTCCACAATTGTTTAAAAAAAATTAAGGATATACATATGTACATACGTATATACGAACTGAAGTGTTTAAGAGAAATTCAAATATTCAATTTAAAATGACAATGTAAGAAATAAGGAAAGAATTATAATCGGATTTTCTGATCATTAAAAAATTTACTGTGTAAAAATCAAATTTCTTAACATTAATTTAAATTTCAAATGGAAAACAAATTTACTCTCCTAAAAGGTAACTAAATCTAAGCTGATTGACAGTAAATATTTATTATGACATTTAATTGACAGATAATATATACTATGACAATTGATTATAAATATGCTAAGATAATATAGTTTACACATCGTACCGATTTAATCTAAAATAAAATTTGGTGAGCATTTATTTATACATATCAGATTCATTTTGTAACTTTATGTCAAATTTTTGTCAATAACTGACAAAATGAAATTCTATTGTGTCAGACTTATTCAGAAAAATCTAATCTAAAATTTAATCTGATGTGTATAACAAACAGTTGGAATTACATATTTAATGACAGTTTATTATGACAATTGTTTATGTTAATGGACAAAAAAATTTAACATTCAACCAAAACAGTGACCTCTAGAAACATTAGAATTTTTGATTAAAGTGTATTGCAAATACTTAACCAAAATTGATACAATATACATAGATACACTATATATATTTATAAGTATACATTATATAAGTACACATATATATTTATGGCAAAGTAAAGTACTCATTACTTATAAATATCACAATTTTTTTATTACATTGCACATTGTTAGAAGCTTTAACAATTTTTCAAGTACAATAACAATATTATAATGTATTTTTGTTCTTAATACAATCTTTAAAAAAAGAAAAATTTCTTTAACTGTTTCAAAATTGAACCGTACATTTACGTCATCAACGATTTGTCACTTTCGTTATGGTAATA